AAAAGAGTAGAGTAAAAGTAAAAGAGTAGAGTAAAAGTAAAAGAGTAGAGTAAAACAGAACAGAAACATTATTGTGGACAATGACCGGTGCATCTGGAAGTAGAAACAACTGAAATTCTAGAGGACGGAGTCTTTGTAGTATCCTTGGCCTAAATATCTGTAAATATTTTCATGTCCCTGTGATTCCTTCCTAACGCAGGTTTGCAGAATGTGCCAAGATATATCAGCATCCAACAGAAGAATCGAAACCCGAGCCAGTTGTGCCTCTGGTATACCTTCATAAAAATTGCAGTGGGTTTATAGCTTGCCTCCTTTGGTGAGCCTTTTCATGTATACTTGACATACTTCAGGGCGTTCTTACAGTCATTTCCTGAGAGACTGTGCAGATATCGAAGGCTGATAGGCCCCAAGAGACAACCCAACGGATGATGCAGAAAGCGCCTGACGGGAAGGCTGTTATGAGTGCCTAAAGTGAGTCACCCTCCTTTTAACCACATCTGGCACTCTCTGCCTGCCACTTCCCTCTCCCCTCCCCTTCGCCCGCAGCCACAAAGAAGTTAGGTACTGAACAGCTAGAGAGAGAAAAGTCCCCACCCAGGAAATCTAATCTAATTTCACATTTCAGGGGTGGGAAGCCTTGTTTTTACAGGGAGCTGGTGAGCGACGACTGCCTTGGTGAGTGCATACAATCTTTTTCTCTTGGCATGTGTGCTGATGTTAAGGAGGGTGACAAAGGTGAAGCTGAAATACTTGGCTCAGTCTGTAATTTCAGAAATAAAAACAAAAAAAACAAACCCTAAACCTCAGATTGGCCAACTAACGATTTTTGCAAACAGCTAGGTTGGATGGATTCAGCTGTTCTGGGTGGCTTTTCTTTTATATCTTGGTCTGTTCAACTACTAAACACTGGAAACTTCTGAAAATATGGTATTTATTATGGAATTAATTTATTCGTGCAGGGAGTAAGGTGGGAATTACTCCATAAGCCTTGATTCTTTCTAGAATTAGCCTGGTCTTCTAAAACAGTAACTTAGACAACATTGCAAAAGACAATTTCCTCTGCTTTTAATTTGAGCACTTACTTCCTCTATCTTTCCATTAGTAATTGTTAGAAAAAAGTTCTCAGACTTTTACAAACTGTGGCATGGAATACCTCCCAGCTCCTAATTCTTGTACAAATCTTCAGCCCTGATCTTCAGGGTTACCTGAACAAAGAGGAAAAAAGGAATCCTGTCTCATGATATCTTTTCTTGCTTTATTGTAAGATAGATCAAATAGCACTCGTTAAATTCTGTAACTGCTTAGCTGCAAGAGAGGAATCAGTTAAATGAATAAATGATTTGAGCTGATCATAGGACAGTAGCATTGCGCTGGGTAGCTTTTAGCTGTAAGACCAAGAATGGGAAAAGGCGGAAGAGGAAAATGATTTGCCTATCAATCCATCTGCTCATCCATTCATCCTGTTCCAATAAAATGCTAACATGGGAGGTGTTACTTTCTCCATGCTCTGAGAAGCATCCTACTTCTTAGCATGGGCAAATTCTTGCTTTTCTTCCCCTCTGTGAGCGGGCTTCACAAAAATTAAAACTATTGTTTGTCAATGTGATTTAATTTCCTTGTTTCCTGCTGTGATAATGGTATCAGTTGGATGCCACAACTTTTCATATGTCTTGGAAGATCACAGCTCCTTGTCATGGTAGTTTGGCAGCCAAGGTGGCGCAGTGGTTAGGGTGCAGTACTGCAGGCCACTTCAGCTGACTGTTATCTGCAGTTCGGCTGTTCAAATCTCACGGGCTCAAGGTTGACTCA